GCAATTGACTTGCTGCTTTCTGAATGGTGAACAGCAAGACACAATGTGCATCTACTAGCCTAAATGAACCAAATTCGATGCTTTCATTCACAAATATAATTGCATATACTTACAAATCAAGCTATTCTATGTGTTCAAGCTGATGTGATGATAGCAACAACTGAAAATGTTTATGGATATTCTAATTGGAACAAGCAAAAAGAAACCAGTTTTACATAGTCTGTGCTTGTGAGGATGGGTTTTCAGTATGCAATGTTATATACAGTGTGGTCTTACTGCCTCGCTCAATCTCTCTCTCTCTCTGGAGTTTCGTTACTCAATTTCTAAGTGCTGTGCACAAATTACCATTACAAACGTGTATACATTGTATAAACAAAAATTGCAGACTTGTGAAGACAGCACTCTTCTGGTGCCTGAGAGTCCTAGCAATCACAGGGCATATGTCAAGTGTATCAACACATCTGGAAACATAATCCTTCCTTCCTTAAAGGAGATGAACATAACTCATTCTTAATAGGGCCCTCACGGCAATAAAGGTTAACTGCACACTACCACGGCAGCTATTAGAAGGACCTGCTAAAACCTTAAAAACCTCAGTTAGATTAACTGTTCAGGGGTTTGAAACAGACCAATGTGATCCTTGTTCTTGTACAATCTATAAAGCATGAGTGGGTGGATTGCTTAGGCACTGACACTGTGACAATGCACAGTAATTCAAGGGTTCATATCTAGACTGGAGCTCATCTTAATCGTTACTTGTGAAAGCAGCAGTGCCATCTTACACTATAGCAACCGTGGTCTCCTGGGCTATGCAGCTCGGAAGTTTTCACATTTTATTTCTAGGGTTTGCTTTCTTTGCTTTTCCCTTTAAGGCAGCCTGTACATATTTCTCTTTCCAAATGTGTAAGCCTGCCTAGTGCCCCCCATATGTGCGCCTTCCTATGGCTTAATGGCCTTTGTGCACAGAGCAATACTTTGCTCTTACCAAGACAGCCTTCATCAGAAGCCTTTTGTACCCTGTGTTATCATACAGTTCATATATTCAAAAACTGGGATTATTATGTGTGTTAATTTATTTTAAATTATGTATTTATTTATTGTGGTGAGTGTATGAAAGAGAGAAAGATGGCAGCAGAGAAAGTGACAGGATAAATATGCGTATGTTGGTGCACTAAGTGAATAACGAAATCCTGTGGTTTCCAGTGGGGACACATATTCTCCTCATGTCCTGGCATACATTGTTCTGAATAAAACTGGAGGATATGGTATGCTCTGAGCAGAAAAGCTGAGATCTAGATTGGCAGCCTAATTCCTTATGTCTCCCTGACCGGAAGTGTTTGCTGGTATTTGACCCAAAGGATCCCTCTTAAATTTGGTCCTGCGGTTTCTGACCAGTTCCTTCTTCTTGGTGGTATTTTGACTCACAAGCTACCTGATGTGATATTTTCCTTTTATCTGAGCAAAATAAACTAGCTCATCCCAATTTCCAAGGTGCTCAGCTTCTTGTAGCTGTTCTTTTCCTTGCTATGTGTACCTTGGTCTTCTATCACTTCAATGCAATAGGTTAATCAGATAGGGGTTGGTAGCCTAACAAATGCTAATGTTTCCTCAGCTGTACCCTACACAATGCTCCTGTACTTATACTTTTTGCAGAACAAATGACTGGAAGACACAAAAGACTTTTATTATTGCCCTGCCAGAGCAAGTTCATTACTACTGCCTGTCATCATTTCTATGTCCTAAATTTCCAAATATCAGTCTATGATCATCATAAAGTTGTTCACAAGTTAAGCCTACTAGTGCCTGTCATACAGAAGATAAAATTAAGTTTATTTAATTTAGGGAGAGGAAGATATAGATAAACTTTTATCCAAAGTAACCCAAACTGCAGAAGAAATCCTGACATCATTAATTGAGTATCTGATATCTCCAGAGAAGCATCCAAACTAGTGGCCCAGCCAGGGAAGGAATCCAGGTCTTGGTTGCTATTCCTAGAGTTAAAAACACTCTGGCTTAGGTGAAGACTCACTGGTCTTAACCTTTGCCAATAAAACAGTTTCTTCAATTAAGCATCAGCAGTCTTGAGGGAGATCTTAAACCAAGGCATAAATTTTACCCTAACTGGAACACATTTCCATCTGCATGTCTCTGGTGCTGTACAGAGACCAATGCCATTTGTCAGAAACACAGCAATGGTCAGGCTGCTGTGAACATCTAATTGCAGGATTCAACTCATAGGCAGCTTGAATATAAATCAAGGGAGTTCCTCTCCCTCACAGCAGGGGAAAAACAAGCTTATGTCACCTGCAAAATACAAAAACATTCACCATCAGAGTACTTTTCAATAAGGTGATCAATGAACTAATCCTGTGTGTTCTGTGTGAAGTGGCAAAGAAAAGTAGATTCATACATGCTTGCAGCAATCTCTGTATGTGAACTTTCTAAAGGAGACTCCGCCTTCATTGGGAAATTTGTATGGGTACACAAATGAAGACGCTGAGCCCCACTGGGCTTAATCATTAGCACCAGGCAGTCACCCCTCCATGAACACATAGCTTAGAGAAACAAAATAATGCTTTGCAGAAAGAGCATTTACTTCTGATTAGACAGTTTCCTGTGAATTTCTGTATCAATGCCCGCAGCAGAATAAAAGGGCACTAGTCTTGATTCCTGCAGAGACATTTCTAGCATTCCAAACTCCTCTTAATAATATCAGTCTTTTGTGTTATAAAGGTTATTTTTGGTGATATTTATTCATTTATTTATTTTTTTTTTTAAGGAGTAGTATAGATTCAGATTTGATGAAAGTTTTCAGACCTAGAGGAAGCAGGTCTAGGATGTTGCTGTTCAGTCTGAAGCTCAATGGTACTTCCTCAAAAATAATAAAAAATATGATTGACTTTATGGAAATCAGTGGCGATGCTGCTAATCTTAATCACATTTTGCTATTTATTTATTTTTTTTCATTTTTTTCTTTTTTTTCTTTTTTTTCTGGGAACATACCAATGATGAGTCCTGTAACAAGAAATACTTGCTTCATCCTTATCCCCAGATCCTAGACTAATAAGTGTTTTCATTATGTGAAGATTATTACTGTTCTGTTGTTTTTAATACCTTAAGACATTTTGCTAAGTGCTGTACTTTCATCATACAAGAAGACGGCATTTTTAACACTACATAAACACAATTTCTTCTTGGAATAAAGCAATGTGGTCCTCAACATACCGTTGGTTTTCAGCATAGCCAAAACAACCATTTTACTAATGAAAAAACACTTGCTAGTCAAAATTTCGTATTATGACCTGTTGAGAAGTATTAATCACAGAAAAATATTCAAGTGGGTCTTAAGGTGACCATTCTCCTAAGGTTCAACACTTCATGGCTAAGTCTTCTGATCACCAGCAAATGCACACAGTTCATTTTTCTTAACAAACTTAACTAGTTCTTTATCATGCTGGGCTGAGCTACTACTGACTGAGAGGTGGTTTAAATACTTGGATTTTAAACAAAGTAATAATCTTGAGATTACTGCCAATGAACTCCTCTCTGCAGCCAGCTGTGATGAAGTGGTGATTCAAAGGTAAGTAGGATATAGTGTGTGAAGAACAGTAAAGCAGCACATGGTGGCTGAAAAGCTTCTTTGGGGTCCTCAGGTGACCAATTACAAGCTGTAGGTAACTAGGAAGACTTTCAAACCTTAAGTCTGCTGTCAGGTGACTGTGAGAGTGACAGCACTGGAACAGGTTTCCCAGAGAGTTTGTGGACTCTTCTTCTCTGGAGATATTCATAACCTTCCTGGATGCCATTCTGTGCAACATGCTCTAGGTGATCCTGCTCTGCAGTGAGGTTGGACTAGATGATCTTCAGAGGTCCCTTCCTCAACCATTCTGTGATTCTGTGACTCTGTGAAGTCCTGAGGGACTTAGGGACATTATAGGTTCTTATAGTAGTTTTACAGTCTTGAGACAGACTGAATGTTCAGAGCAGCCTGGTAGTGTTCACATTGAAAGGTCTAAAGTCCTTACAGATTTTCTGGTAAGTACTGACTGCTAAATGTCCCTCTATCATTGTGGGGCTGGAAAAAAAAAAATCAGTTCAATTGTTGGCTGAGAACTCTGCCTTCTGAAAATTTGTCCCTGTGACTTCATTCACTAGAGGACTGAAAAACAAAACCCATTTTGATGGAGTAGCAGGTTTTAAACCTAGGACCTCTGATCTAAATATATCCATGAACTGAGCTAAGAACTCCTCTGTAATGCAAGACATCAATATGTTCAGTTGCCTGAAAGTGTGGCCCAGATACCATCAGAGGGAAACACAGCACCATGCTGAGGAGGAGTAAAATGTTTGGCTTTCCTGAAGTGGAAAATCTGAAATGTATTGGTAAGTCTACTCTGTGGAGGACGTGATTGTCTAAGAACTGTTAGCCTTTTTCTCCAGGACTTCCTTTTCCATGGTGCCTGAGATGCTAATCTTACTCAACTTCATACACAACCAAAGACCAAGATATATGGAGGCTTAGAGAGTATAGTAAGACCATTCATTACCATTCATTCATACCCACCTTGGCATCTGCAAAGCACAGCTTTATCCTGTGTCCTCATATTACCAGCAATTATTTACCCAAGGTAACCGAGAATTACCCTTGCTCTTCCTGATGACAATACAAAACCACAGCAATATAATACACTAAAAGTACAGGAAAATCAGAAAAATATTTTTTTTTCTTTAGCTTCAACATTTTTTTCTAGCTTTCTGCATTTGCTTCAGGCTGTCCATATGAAAAGAGAGCATCCACAGGAAGAAAAGTTGCACAGTGTGAAATCATAGGTATGTGGATGCAGGAACAACTTCTGCACTGAGAATCTAGAAAATACATTTTTCCTGGTATACAAAAGTGTTTCTCCAAGTGAAAGAATCTTGCCATAAAATGAGTACTGAAAACACTAGACCTTAACTCAAAATAGGACACTAGATTAACTTTTTTTTTTTTTTTCCAGAGGCTGACATTTATTAGTTTAAATGGGGAGCTCACACTTGTGCATCTTTGCCTCTGCTTTCATGCTTTCACATTCTCAATGAGATGAAGAGCAGAAGACATGTAAGTGCCGTTCTTGGGCTGGTTTTGGCTTGAACTGAAGCAGCAGGTGGTTTTCATGAGTCAAGAAAGCCTGCTCAAGAGGACTGGGGAAATGCTTGAACTTATAAGTGCTTTTGGAACCAAACCTTGAGTTCTTCACTTTTTTGAGTTGATACATCTTGATATCCATCTGCCGTATTGTTAACCTTTTGGAATCAGTGCTTGTAAATTTATGCAGGAAGATGCTGATGTTCCAGTTTTATACTAGTCCCATTTAGCTAACTTTCAGGGTGTCTCCCTACATGATTTTATTAAAAAAAATCAGGAAAGATGCATGTATGCCTACCATTATTAAAAAATAAGTCTGACTAATCAAAATTTTACAAGCAATGAGTCACTTCAGTTCCAATGCAATGAAAAATCAATACAGACCTTTCAGAAACACATTTTATGTTTACTGAAGGCAATGGGGCCTCCTAAAGAACTGACAATTTAAGGTGGATGTGTTGGCTGGCTGTGGAAAATACACCTCTCTAAGGCCACTATGTTGTCAAAGACAGGAACCAATTTTCTGGCACAAAATGAAGAGGTCTAAAACTTTTCCAGTACTCACTCTGTTGTTATTTTCATGATACCATGTGGAATGACCATTTACTTATCAACTAATACCTTAGGCAGGAGAGGAAGCTGTTTAAAAATAATTCAAAATGCAAAATAATGTTCTGCTGCAGGCCGAATTTGCTTAATTGTATTATTCTGATAAGGGTGCAGTCTTTGTTATCTCCCCATACTTCATTAAGATTATAAGGAATGTTTTCAATGGACATTTTTTTACCACTTTTCTATAGTCAACTGAATAAAATGAGTTTTATGACAATGTGTTGGAATCCCTTGGCCAGGTGATAGAAGAAAAATATGCTGACCCTTCTGTTACCTACCATGTATGTTTTTAAGTAAATGGGTTATTAGCTACATATTTCTCATCTATGACAAAAGCTGAGGTTCAAATCACAGGTATCCTTCTGTTGCAGCTGCGGTAGCTGAATATAGACAAAAATTGCTCAGCTATGGACCCAGGAGAAACGCTGGAATGTGACACGATGTGATTTTGCAGTATGAAGCTAGGCAAGTATTATGATTTTTTGCATTCTGTGTATCAGGCTTTTTCGTATTTTTTTTTTTCGTTCATTTCTGTCATCTGCAGAGACAACTGTCATTTTATGTTGAAAAAGCACAGGCAGTTTGTGACTGAAAACACACGTGGGTCACGTATGTGCTATTGTATTTTACTTCAGTACATTTCTACATTATTACTGTTCCGTGATCTAACTAAAAGATTTTTTTGGCTTAAGGGTATAAATCGTTCTCTGTAGGCAGCAACCATTAACACTAATGAAACTTAGCGATCAATCTGCATTTGAAGAATATTGTGGGTGTCACTCACACATCCTACTTATCACTTGGTGCAGTATTCCTGTATCTGCAAGCGATCTAATTGGGCTGTGGACCCACTGTGCCAGACCCCGTGCAGACATTGCAGAAGAATTATTCTTGCCCTGAAAGCTTCCCTGCTTCAGACGTCATCTGCTTATGAAACATGTAGCACCTCCAAAATAAGCAAATTTAGATGGTTTTGCAGTTCTCTACAGTATCCCATATCCAAGAAAAGCAATGGCAGCAGAATGAGTAATGGAGATCTCGCATAGGCAAAGGCATTGGTGTGGTCTGGTGGTTATTAGCTTTGCTACTGCTGTTCTGATTATTCCTACTTCCTGAGTACATATGGAATAAAGTCCTATTTAGATTTAGGTACCAAGCCAAAGTGTTTTCTGTGTCATTAATCCAAGGGGAAATGGATTTTTCATTTATCAGAGTCCAGATATAAAATTCTATCGTGACAGCTCAGAGAAAATAAGAAGGAAAAAGACACTGCTCTGATTCCTGCACCTTTGTATACTTTCCCTAGAGTTATACATCTACTTCTTTGCAAAAGCAGTGCTCTTCAAAAAATGAATCGGTATGCAGGCTTGACAGTCTTTCTTCTTTTCTTCCCCAAAAGAGTCCTTGTCTTTTTCTCTCTCTTTTCTTCCCCCAGCTCCCTTCCCTAGACAAGCAGAACTCTCAGTCTTCAGTGCACCTTTCTGTCAAGGCTCCAGGTAGGACTGAAAACATCTTGTAATGCACAAATGTCTTGTTTCTCTATCCCCTCTATGGAAACAAAATGTTTGTTCCCATTTCATGTCAAGAGCTTTCAGTTAGTTTAAATCTGCAATAGCAATGTGCATTTGGATTTGTCCAGACGTTCTAGGAGCAGAATTGGATCAAATTGTATCTTTTGTTGTTGTTGTTGTAAAGAGTTGAAATTCAGATATAAGGTTTAATTTCCTTTGAAGAAATAATGCTAACAACAACACATGCATTTAATAAGCTAGCTTGAAATCTGTCTTCAAAAACAATAGTGTTGTAAACTAATGGTCAGAAACCATGCATGCATGCAGTTACTATACACTGTGAGCTACCAATGCAAAAAATTATTCTTTCCCTAACAATATAAAGGAACAGGAAGGAAGGGAAGGAAAGGGAGGGAGGGAGGGAGGAGGGGAGGGAGGGAGGGAGGGAAGGAGGAAGGGAGGGAGGAAGGAGGAAGGAAGGAGGAAGAAGGGAGGGAAGGAGGGAAGGAGGGAGGGAGGAGGGAGGGAAGGAGGAAGGAAGGAAGGAAGGAAGGGAGGGGAGGGAGGGAGGGAGGGAGGAGGAGGGAAGGGGGGAGGAGGGAAGGGAAGGAGGAAGGAGGGGGGAGAGAGGGAGGGAGGGAGGAGAGAGGAAGGAAGGAAGGAAGGAAGGAAGGAAGGAAGAGGAAGGAAGGAAGGCGGTTTTTCTCTACAGCTTATGTTTTATTCTATTGGAGGCTCTCCTTCGTCCGCTCCCCCTTCCTCTCCTCATTCCCCTCATACGAAGATAGAACCCTCTCCTATCTCCTCCTCCTCTCTCGATCTAAATCTACGAATCCCGATAGCGCACATCTACGCGCACGAGCCTATGCAGAAAGTCCAGCGCATAAGAGTACTCAATCTACCAATCTCCGATCATTTCCTCCCTACGGACAAATCTGCCTCTCCTCCTATCCTCTCCTCTCCTCTCCTTCCCTCCCTCTCCTCTCCTCTCCTCTCCTCTCCCCTCCCCTCCCCTCCCCTCCCCTCCCCTCTGTCAAATCTTTTCTCATTTTCTATTTCACATTTTTGCACAAAGAAACTTGACAAACCTGCTTCACCTTCTGTATGCAATTTGTTTCATTTCCCATTTCCTGTACATTTTAATACCAACGTATTTGAAAAGGAAGAATTCATATTCAGCAACACAGTGATATAATTACAACTTCCAAACTCATCTCTGCCTTCTATGAGGTTTCCTGACTTTGGCAGCATTAAAAGCTTCATTATTTCTCATCTTTCTTCCAGATTTATGTAACTTTCAGCTTCCGTCTAAAACTTCCTTCCTTGTACTTTCTTTTTTTCCCCCAAGCACTCACATACGGAGTATATGAATGAGATTTGGAAAGAACCAGCTGGCGGTGTGGACATTTTCTCCCTCAATATTCTCTTTGATGTGAGACTCTGATGACATATTTTTATTGCCTGCTACTAAAAAAATGGAAGTTTCACAAAGTAATTCAATGCTGGGTCTTAAAAGGATATCTCCTTGGGATCCTTGGAAGAATTTAATTAATCAGATTTGTATACAGGTCTGTGAGATTTAGGCTGAGGAAACGGTGCAGGAGGAGTTAGGGACAGTAAAGCAGTCCATCTATTTCAAATGTCAGATATGAAATTTGACTTATTGCCAAAGTTGTTATCCAACTTGGTTAAGTATGGTTAACACAAAGTGAGTAATTACAGAAAACATGTCTGGAAAGGACCTCAGGAATACAGTTGCTCCTGCCCCAATGTAGAATCTCATCTAACTATCTTATGCTTGGAAATTGTTAGCTAATATGTGCTTTAAAGTCTCTACTGTTGGATATTCCACAACTTCCTCAGGCAATCTGTTCCTGTACAGTCTTTTTATTGTTAAAAGGTTATTTCCTGGTGTTTAACCTCAATTTCTTTCATTGTACTGTGTCTAAATGTTTTTGTAGGGGAGTAGTTTTGCCCTAACCTTACATCACATCAGTTCAAACCTCAATAACTTAATTGAAGTCAACAGTGTGAAACCATCACAAGTTGAGAAGTAGGCCATTATCTTTTAAGATTCTCCCAGTAATGCTAAAAGAGGTAATACCACACTGGAAATAAGAGTCTTATACTGGGGCTTGGACAAGTATAGTAACACAACAATTGCTTTTGACAACAATTTCTGAGAGCAGATTCCTAAGTACATGAGCTGTATGAATCCTTCTGTGACATGGGGAGGTACAATGTATTCTTGTCCTTGAGATATCTAGCAAAACTCAATATAGCTGATACTCTTGCATTATGATTCACTAGTCTAGATTAGGCTTTTCGGTGCTCACTTGTGATGACCCAGGAAACTGGAACAAGCTTGTCTCCCCACATAAAAAAAAAAAAAAATAAAAGAGAGAGAGAGAGAATAAGGAACATGTGAACTACATTTCTGTTTGTTTGTTTGTTTGTTTTGTTTATTTTTTGTCCTTGTTGTTGTTTTGGTTTTTGTGTGTGTGTGTGTTTTTGTTTTTCTTTTACCATCCAAACACAGGCCTTTTTTTGTTCTGGACCTGTTAGAGTGGGTCCAGAGGAGAGACACGAGGATTATGAGAGTTCTGGAACACCTCTCATATGAAGAAAGGCTGAGAGAGCTGGGGATATCCAGTCTGGAGAAGAGAAGACTCCAGGGAAACTTCATTATGGCCTCTCAATACTTAAAGAGAACTTATAAAAAAGATGGAGAGTGCAATCTAAGAAAGGCAGAGAATGGTAGGAAAAGGCGAAATGGTTTTAAAGTAAAAGAAGGGAGGTTTAGATTAGATGTTAGGAGGAAATTCCATACTCAAGGGTGGTGAGGTGCTGGCACAGGTTGCCCAGAGAAGCTGTGGATGCGCCATCCATGGAGGTGTTCAAGGCCAGGTTGGATGTGGCTTTGAGCAACCTGGTCTGGTGAGAGGTGTCCCTGCCCATGTCAAGGGGCTTGTAACTAGTTAGTCTTTTATGGTCCCTTCCAACCTAAGCTATTCTACACTTCACTCTCTGCTGTGTTCTCTTCAGTGTTGTCTGGCAGCAGAACATAGGACATTGCTGGGTCAGCAATATCTTCTGCATTTCACTCCAAGTTTATTTCTCTGGAGGGCCAAATGCATAGAGAAAACAGTTGTGATGTTTTGGATGTGGCTTCCATGGTTCAGTTCATATGGAAGATGTGAGATCCCCCTGTGTGGGAGATCTGTAGGAGAAGGTCTCTCTCCAGAGGGATCAATATGGATAAAGATCCAGGCTGAACTGGAAACCAACATGCCATTCACTTGGCGTCAGAAAGTTCCTACTGGGAAAAGTGAATTTATGCCTAAGTGAGTAGATCAGTCCTATATAAATGGTACTCTTGTTTTGTAATGGAGAATAGGAACCTGTCAAGGACTGCATTTGCATCCTTCATCCCAATCTCCTGCACAAGGTCAGCAGTGAAAACTGACTGAACTGGATTCTTTAGTTTGAGCTGCACCTAAGAATCGTTTTTTTGTGTGTGTGTGTGTGTGCTTTAGCTGGTACTGAAGGACCACTCAAGAGCCTGGGGTACTACCATCTTCTTGTTTGCCTGGCCAATATTCCTGAAACCAAGTGGGAGCATGTGGCTTGAACCACAACTCAATTTCCTGCTGCAGGGTAAGGCAAGTGCCAGCTTCTGGAAGTCTGGGTGAGTGTCACAGGGCAACCCTGGCACCCTGTCATACTCCCCTTGAGCACTGGAATAGCCTGCACAATGGCCTCAAATATCTGCTGCCTGTAGGAAGAGCGAGAGGGGAGCCAGACCTTTACAGAGATGAAGGAGGCACAAGCAGCATGTTCTGGTTTTTAAGCAAGGGATGCTAATGAGAAAGAAAATGATAAATATTTGCATTCTTGGTGTTTTTATATATTTTTTTCCACTTGCTTGTGCTTTACACTCTGGGAACATTTTCG